TATAATTCTAATGGCATACAAAGCATGGATAATTGTGACAGCGCAAAAAGATTTTAATGCAATACATGATTTTTATGATTAAAAACATAATATAAAAATTAAAATAAAATTTGCGGGAATACCTGTATGTTTTTTCTTAAAACACATTTTGTAACTTATATCGGCTTAATTATATCGGCTTAGAAATTAGATATTTGTTCTTAAGACATAGTAATACAAACAAAGGAAGACTCACAGCCAAAGAAACATTTTACCTCAATTAAAGACCGTAGAATGCGTTTGTGCTTCAGATTCAAGTAACAAACAAGAAATATATATCTTGGATTTTCCTTTACTTTGAAGAAATTACGTTCTGAAGAGTTGATAAATAAATAAAAACACAAAAGGAAATATTTTAATGTCTGTGTCTTCATAATTAAATCTCTAGATATAACTCTGTCTAAAATTATAAATTTCATAAAAGATTTTATTGGAATGAGATGTAGACTGTTTATATGTTATAGATATACATATTTTTATTTTTTATTTTACAAGAAATTATTTTTATCTAGTTAATTCAAAACAATTAAAAATATATAAAATGAAATTATTAAATGACTGCAGAAAAATGTTAAAATAAACATATAAGTAAAATATTTAGAATTTCTCTTCTTTTTTAATGAAAATATTTTCTACACATCAAAAGTCGATTGTTATGATGATAGTACTTACTTTATATATATTTTAATATTTTGTAATATGGTAATATGGTGATTTAATAGGAATTATCTTAACGTTAATAATGTTCAAAACTTCTCTGTTAAAACGTTTTTAATCGCCACTATTCATTTTTGAAATAAATATGAAGAAAGTTTACGTATCAAAAATTGTTGCGTAAACTTGTTAGCTTTAGACGAGCTTTGATAAATTTAATACATAAACTAAAGTGAAGTGTAACGTAAAAATCAAATTATGACTGCCGAAAATTGTGCAATCCACGTTCTGTGCCTTCACTTTCTTAGCTTAATGTAAGCAATGTGGGGATTCTCGATCAAAGTATTGTAACTTTTTCCATATCCACGCATCACACACTGCCTGAAGCCGTATAAGTGACTCTGAATAATAAGTGTGAAAACTTGTTATATTAATTTTAAAACAATTTGAATATCAAGTTGTTTATATAAGTTATTACAATTTACAGAAAGTAATTTATGAGATAAAGTAATCATAAATAATTTATGAGCAAGAATTGATGATGCGTTATATAATTTAAATATTATATAATAATATTAGACTTAATCTTCAGGAATATATTAATTATGAATAATTCTTGTTTCATTTTATTAAGTTGCATTATAAGCGAAAAATAATTTTGTTACTTAGTAATAAAATCTTATTTTATAATTGTCAGTAATGAAAACATTCATAAATTTATAGGATATATATTAGTATAAGATTTTTTAAGATTTTGAATTACTAAAAAAGTTTAAAATTTTTAACAAAGTAATAATTGCTTTTTAAAGTTTAAATTTTAGAATCTTTTTTACATGTATAAATTTCAATACACTTATACAAATCAATTTTATCGAGACAGTTGATTATATAAGTGCTTTATGCATTCGAAATAATATTTTTAATGTCCACTCTAGGAGCCAATCGCGAGTATTGTTGAGAAAAAACTTTACCTCAGGAAAAATCACTTCGGTCCAATCTCATATATTCGCTTCGCGTTCATTCTCACGAGCGTGGTGTCTGTAAGGCCGCAGTTAATGGCATCACAAAGATGTTTTCTCTCCCTGGTATCGGTCGTCGTTTCTCCGGTAATGTCAGGGCTTTTCCATGGGCTTCTTCCGCGGGCTTCGCGGGTAAGCTGCATCTGAAATAAGTATGAGCCTAAAGCTAGTCTTAGAAGGGAAATGGTTTTCTTTCTTCTTTTTTCCTCCTCTATTTCTTTTTCTCTTTTTCTCTGAGGTCAATACGAGAAGTGACACTTCAGAGGTCAGGAAGAGCAAAGAGCTGGCTCGTCCTCCGTCCACCCTCTCTTCGTCCTATAAAGCTCTCGTCTCGTTTGTCTCGGGCGGCAGGTGACCTAGTTCTGCCGGAACGTACTGGCTCTCTAACGACTCGGTAGTACTCGAAAAGTATCGGCCTGGGGCGAGAATACTCGCGTGGACAAATTCGTCCGACACGATCACAGCCGCCATTGTAACATCGTATTACGATCCAGAGCTTTACGCTTATGCAATTTTGGCCGTAACACGCGACAAAGACATGACACTCATAAAGGGAGTCGTAACTTCAAGAGGGTATATTCGCCGGTAACGCGAAATGATTATTGATAACAAATTTCTGGAATATTAAGAGTATTATTGACGAGAAGATATGCAAGACGTTTAATATTTATTATTTAAAATTTCCAAAAGAATCTTTCATAAAAAAAATAACTCACAAAATTTCGCAGTGTTATGAAATTAGATTATTGTATAAAATTTCATTATATAATAATTTAAAAAATATAAGATAAAAAATTATAGAATAAAGAAAAATTAAAAATTAAACATCTAAGTACCACTTCGACTTTTTTTAAAAAACTTAGAGTTCTTATAAAGAATATCGGCATTACTTAAAGAATCTTTTAATTTTTGTTCAATATTTAAATATTGTATTTTCTTAAGATTTTGTCTTTTTTTTTTGTTTCTCGAAAATATAACAAGAAAATAGATTTCTCGAAAAAGAATTAAAGTTTTATGCAATGCAAAATATGTATATATTTTATAATAGATTATCTATAATTTCAGTACTTTTTAAAATTTAATACTCTTAAGCAACTCTTCTATAATTTTTCTACAATTATATTTGTGAAAAGAAAAAAATTAAGAAAGCAGAATAATTTATTTTTAGAGAGGAATAATAATGTCTTCTCATTTTAATTTCTAAAGATTTGAAAATATCTGAAGAATCAAAAAATTACTTTTTATTGTAATATTTGAGTAAACTTTTTAAAATCAATGTTTAGGTCTTTTAATTACTCAATCGATTCACCTTTGATATTAAGACGATCTTAGCTGACTTCTTCTCGAATCATTGTATTTCAAGTGAATAAATATTTTCCATAGCTTCGACAAAGTTGCTTGAATTATAGCATCTTGAAGCCGGTTCTCCCTTCAATGCATATCATAGCCACACTTTGGGAAATAAATTTTCGTTTCACACAAAAGGGAGATTCTTTTGTAACGAAGAAATAAAAGTTTTGATATCGCGTAGCTGCGACAACGTTACTGATACAGGATACCATCGGCTTTTGTTACAGGAATTCCTATTGGCGATCGACGTAACGTCCAGCGGCACGCCGGAAGAAAAACTGAAATGGGCGTTCCGCATGTACGACGTTGACGGCAACGGCGTTATCGATATGCAGGAAATGACGAAGATCGTCCAGGTACCGTAACTCATGAAAAATGCATGCGCTTCGATTTATCTCCACTTAGTTGCACTCGACCGCAACTCTTCCGACAGAATACAGAATTTTTTATCACTTGACGTCAGTACTATCGGCACAGTTAATCAATGAGAGAGAAAAAGAGATTCTGATGTATTCAGCACAATATATTTACATTTAAAAAATGCACGACTTTCTCTTCTCCGTGTCACAAGTTCATAATTTCATGTTTAATTGCATGTGGCACATGTCATTACACTTCTCTCACGATGAGAGACTTAATAATGCATACATAATAAGAATACAGCAATATGAATTGATATTATTTTATCGATACACACTGAATTCTATTTTTTTCTTCATATTCAACACGGTATTCAAGTTGTTCGTAACGAGATGCAAGTATAAACAATTTTCCATTGTGACAAATATAAGTAAATATTAGTCAACACTGATTTGCATAATTAACGCGATTGCATGATAATAAATCAATACTGCTTTTCCGCATTTGTTTAGTGTACCTTTGCGCTTATTTTTTTACGGCGTATGGCAACGAATATCGACGCGCTAATATTTCATGAACCCTCTTCGCAAGAGAACGGATGTAGCCACGCAGCTATTCCACTCGACGGTCATGTCTTTCTCGGAACACCAGAGGCTTCATTAAATACAGCTGTTGCGTCTTTTTTTAAATAAGTAATTAAAATTTCTGTGCCGCTTGGTGTACCGGCAGCGGGCAGTAACCGAGATGAATGGAAACTTTGTAACGTGCAACCTATTGCATAATAAATTTCCGCGAAATTACTAGGTCACACTCTCCATGCGTGGAGCAAAAGGGCACACTTTAATTTTTAAATGGCAGTATATGGTCTTTATAGGATTTTAACATTCATTTATTTGCGCTAATGTATTGCAATAATTCTGCAACATATTTTGCAATAATAAATTGTAAGCATGTATAAAATTACAGGTAAAATATTGCTTTGAAATTTAATATTATGAGAGTCATAATTTTGTCTTATGCGATCTTTATATGAGAAATATTATCATTTTTTACAATAAAATTTTAATCAAACATAACATTGTGGCATAAAACGAAAAGAGTCGTCATTGCCAAAAGTCTAGAAATGTTCTAAAAACGCAAAAGGAACTAATAATATTTTAAACTTCCCGGGGATATATTTTAGGGGAAACTTGGGATTATTGCGCGGAATAAAACCCGAAAATTAGGACACAAAGATAGAATCACGCTTGAGAAACTAATTATCACATTATATTCAGATGAATCCGAGTGAATAGGGAAACGGGAATATTTATATACTAACAGAGCGTAGAAAATCACGATAAAAACGCAGCGACAATGTTATGCTTTATAAAAGTATATTATAAATTTAACGCAGCTTTTTATTATTTTGTTTTTTTATTCAAATTTATTCTTATATACGAAAAAAAATAGTTATACGTTAAAATGCCTATCATTCTGCGATAATATAATTATAATTAATATATTTAATGCGCAATGAAATGCGAAATAGAATATTTAGCAAAAGTTGGATGATTGAAACATAATAATATCGATCTTTCGTCAATAAATAAAAATAAGATGTGTTTGATTATTGGAATAATTATTGAAATAATTGATACTTTGTACTTTATGTATTATCGATTTAATCGATGTATTATTCATTTAATTACTTAGCGAATTTCTATAGTAAAATGAAATTTAATTAATACTAAAATGATATAAATATTAATATTATACAAATATTATATATTAATAATATTTTAACATATTTAAAGATTTTTAAGATATTTATGTCACATCAATCCCTTGAAAATTATGGAAATGAAATACTCAGGCATTTTTAATTTTGTACAAAATAAATCTGTTTATTCCTAACAAAAGCTGATTACTTGGTATTATAAAAATGTATTATAAAAATTATTTCTCTAAATATAAGTGGAGAAAATCATTTTAAAAAAAGATTAAAGTAAATTTTAATTATCGATAAAAAGTTTTACCGGAAAAAGTTTTATTCTTTATTCTTTGTGATACGTTATCGCTTTCGTTATCGTTTTCGTTAAAAAGCTCATTGCTTGGTCGCGTCCGTTAGGATATTCATCTCTACACTATTAGAAGTTCAGAACTATCGCGACTTCCACGGAAATTCCGGCAACCAGCTTTCCGCCCTCAATGAAAATTAACAATGGAATATTTGGTGAAACTCTGTACATCCTTGTTTAGCATTTAACCTGTAAACATCTATAACCTGTACAACATCTACAATTCATTTGACCGTACATTTCATTCTCGACACTCTGAATATTCCAACAGTGGTTGTTGCAAATATTTTCACAAGCAAACGTTTCATTGTTTCAAAAATGTTTTTGTGTAGAATGATCCAACAAGAAATGGTCAATTTACCTACTATTTTTTTCGTAGTGGTTTTTAGAAGCTAATGCTAGATAATTGTTATTTAAACAGTTACTACAAAATGATGACATATAATGGATGTATTTATTACATAACAGTTATTTTTAAGAATTTTACTATTAAATTTTGAATTGTCTACTTAGTAGATGGATTATATCGATCGAAAAGTGTACAATTTTCTTTCAATATTCTTCTCTAAATTTGAATCAATTAAATCTGGTCATTATTATGATAACAAATGAAATTCAACAGAAAAAGAAAGAAATTTGAGTGTTATATAATCAAAATACCGATATTTACACATTAGTTCCAATATCATATATACATTGAATTTATACACTAAAAGAAAATTAGATAGATTAGAGATTTTCATGTTTCATTGATGATTTAATTAACTGATTACCAATAGTTCCATATATAATCGCTGAATATAGAAAAATATTTTTTATGTGAAAGCAACATAACAGTTTGTAATTACTATTGTATATTAATATTATAATTTACAGTAGTTGTCATATGTATATGTTACATTTTAAATTTATGTTACAACGTAATTCATATTTGAATGTTTTTTTTTTTATAATTCTACATATATAATTTGAAGATTGATTAATTTTTTCGATATGTATTATGTATGACAAAGAAGATTAATTTTATTTAAATAATTCTGTTTTATCGATGGGTCTACCAATTTGCGATAAAATTAATCTTTATCTCACGTCTAACTGTTGGTTGAGAAAATAATAAATTTCGCGTATTTATCTCTGTCCAAGCGATTTACAGTGGACTAATCGGAAAAAGCACGAAAAGAGATTCTAAATAAAGAATTACTGGTGCGCTTTAGTGGCTCTTAAAAAAAAGTATCTGCGATAAATTATATTTTTGGAGCAACATGATTTATCACTTAGTCGAGATTTGCTCAACTATAAACACCGCATGCATAAGAAAAATAATAATACGTTTTGAATTTATCAATTTTCCAGTGAACTGCAAATGCATTATGTATTTCACGATAATAAAATTGCAACAAGTAAAAGAAATTTTTTATTTTTTTGCGCTGCTAAAGATAATTTTACAGCTAATAAGTAATATTCGTATAAGTTCATTTGATTTTTATAAGATAATTATGACTTAAAATATAATATTTTAAAAACTGATTTTATATAAAGTTAACTATACAAAGTGAATAAATTATATAGTTAAATACGTATAAGTTACGTATGTACAAAATTGTCATACAATATATTCCTATGTTTCGCTAGAGGCATGTAATTTTTAAATTTTAAATCTTTATTCGAATATAAGCCTTTATATAAATTTTTATTGAAAAGTATATTTTTTGTTAGTAAAAGTATTGCTAAAATAAATAGATGGAATGTATTTTATAGTTTAATAGTTTATGTACGTAGAACGAAAGCTCATCGGCGATCGCCATTGAATGCTCATTAATCAGGTACCGTTTTTGTATGCCTCAACCTTTCGTCTTGATGGATTTAGGACGAATTCTTGTTTGAAAAAACGTGAAACACCAAAGTTGTGTTCGTGGTTTTCATGATTTACGATTTACTATTGCATTTGTAATGCATAATACGTAAATTTATACTTCTGCTCTATCTATCTTCGCATTTTCTTAGTATTATATAGTAAAAATAGTATTTTTGACAAGGAACGAACATATAAACGTATTAATTTTTTTAAATGTTTCTATATTTCTTTTTATGCGTTGGAAATACGTAATGTCCGCTGAAATATATGTTTCATCTTATTGAGTTCTCATGAGGGATATAATGTATATACGTTATGCATTTGTGACATAATTAAAATCGATATAGAGTCTCTGTTTAATAAAAGTTACGACGTACACGTATTATTACACGTGTATTAATCTTGCTACATTAATTCACAATTTTTCTGTGAACTGGCGAAATGTAATATCTTTAATTTATAAAAAGATGCTATATAATAAAGGTTTGTGAATAGTTCGAATTCGAATAGAATCGAATTGAATTATTGTAGACTCGAGAAATTCGAAATCGAATAATTTTCAATTATCGATAGTTAACTTTTGAATCAATTGCTTATTTTATTTTCTTCATTTATGCATGTCTCTTTCTTGTATATATCACCTGTACGATCAATCTTTGTATCAGAACGTACCAATTTTTGTAGATGCGCATGCAGTTATTTATATATCATTGTATATCGTCGATTATCATTAAATTCTATTGGCTGCGTTGAAAAGACAAAGCCTTACGATTTCTTTATTACCATTGATTCGTACATTTAGATTCAATAAAGAATTAAAAGCAAAAACTAATCATATTAAAGAATGAATCGTTGAGCTCAACGGCTTTGACTTTTGAATGCAGCCTGTTACAGTAATGTCAGAAATAAGATTTATTTTTTATTAGAAGACGTCTTTTTAATACATTTATTATATTGATTACTTTTTGGTATTATTTGTAAATTAAAAATGATTTATTTTTTCGTTTATTTAAACAAATTTGTAACGTTATTGAAAACATTTTTTTTATTTTTAAATTAGCTTTTAATGTAAATCCGAAAAAATTTGATTTAAATTCGATTCACTTTTTTGAATAAAAAAAGATTCGATGTATAGTTCGATTCGAAAGTAAAATTCGTAAAAATTTCAAATTCAATTCAATTCGTTTTCGAACATATTATCAAAGAATTCGTTTCGATTCGATTGGATCTCACAAATGCTTGATTGCACATCTCTACTATATAAATCTACTTTATTAATTTAAACTTAAACTTTGAGATCTTTTATGAATCGTTACGAATATAAATTGGAAATGTATCAATGCTTTGGAACGAGAATGATTGATATCATTTTATGAATCAAAAATAGAGAACATTTCCTCTTTTATCGGAAAACGATGTCGTTTTCAGTATTCCAAGGTATTGATGCAAAACTATCCTTTGTATTAGATATGCCAAATAGACTGGTTTTCCAAACGTGTGACGGGTGGGTGATACATTGATTCTACGTGAGCCTGAATACAACGTGGAGAAACAAAGTATTATGTTTTGTTTTCAGGCGATATACGACATGCTCGGCGCATGTTCGAGCAATAGGCCGGCAGACAGCGCAGAGGAAAGAGCGAAGAACATATTCGCGAAAATGGACGAGAACAACGATGGGCAGCTAACGCAGGAAGAATTTCTGAAGGGTTGCCTCCAGGACGAGGAACTATCGAAGATGCTCGCTCCTTAATCCCGACGTCGCCGCACTTCCGCACGAGCCGTCGACGCACGATCGTAAAGGACACCCCACACCGACTCCCTCATAAAACTCGACGGAAACGTCAAAACGCCGGCAACAATAAGGCCACCACCGAAACGGACACTCGCAAACACACACGCATCATTTACACGCGACACGTATCAACGACAATTTCCTATTAACTATGACATACGCTATTATTGTGACGATTCGATAACTAGGCCGTCACTCATGCTCGACGGGAAGGGTACGAGCCATGATAACGGACGACGATCGAGGATGATAGATAAACGAGGAGGAACAGCGATTCAAATCGAATTACTGTCGATCCTCGTGGGAATAAGATTTAAAAGAGGAAAAATTTCACGAGAGATGATCGCAATGGCACACCGCTCGCTCAGATATTCGCACGGTTGACTGCAGGACAGCAACAACAGTGATGTGTAAATGATCCTAGGAATGTCTCGTAAATATGAGAAACAAAGAGTGTGACATCATCATTGACGACGGCGAGGAATCTAATTAGCTTGTGGAAATCTTCATCTGTTTCGTGAACTCGCCACATCGACAATTGCACGGTGGATTCCGCCTCGCCGAATTTATCATCCGGATTCAGGAATATCCTCGGAGTGCGGTGTTAAAATTAACGCGAATGAGCTTTACGTTCTCATCGAGGAAGGTGACAATGTCGGTTGTTAAGGACCGCAGAATAGCTCTCGAAATCTGCGTTCGCACCGACGATTCAGCTTAACTGGTCCCGGACAAACGATTCGCTATCTTTCTGAATTATATGGTTCCGTCTAGTAATAACAGAGATGAAGACCAGAAACCTCATGATCCTCTGATGCGCTTTAGGGGTTGTAGAGATTTTGCACATAGCACAAAACAATTTTGCTTGTCGCAAACATAACTCTAATTTCATTCTGGATTTCGTAATAATTTCCAGAAATTTCATGATGAGTCTTGTTAAACTGCTATTTTTTTGCGAAAAATTTTGCTTCGTTATAATATAATTAATAAAATTATTCAAGCTCGTCATAAATTTTTTTACAAATCGCTTGATTATTATAAATACTTGATCTAAAGTATCTGTAGAAGCACATTTTTGTATACATAAAAATTACAAATAAATCTTAAATATAAATAGATCTTAAATTATATATATAATTCTGAAACTGTAAGTAGTTTGATCTAATTTGAGTCTGTCAATTTTTTTAAATTTAAATCTTTGCACGAAGATCGCTTTTTCTAATTCCCTATAAGTACATTAAAACAGCTCAAAGCCGACTGTGATTTCAATCTCGTGTAAACTACTTGTTTATCACTGTTACTCTCCACTTCACTCCATTACTCATTCTGTAAGACTCGCTTGATTAGATTACGCCGTGAGAGCTACAAGGTTGACTTGTAATCCTAATTATACAGAAATTCTAAATAAAATAGGAAATTTATGTTGCATCAGAGGATTACAATTGATCGAAGTTGGCGCAATTGGCCTGAAATTGTGATGTGTATCGTAAACGCGAATGGAATTTCAGTGGAATTTTGCCGAGGGTGAAAGCAAAGATACTCATACGAGTGAGTCTTGTATAGAATTAATAATTGCGAGAGACTTACACGCGTAAGACGCACAAGAGATGCATGCCACGAGCGACCGCAGTATGCGTCCTTTTTTTTTCCGACCTGCATTGATCGATCAATGCAGGTCGTATCCAAGATCGGTGTTGCGAGAGGGCGATGCCGGCCGCCGTCCGTGATATGACGATAGTGTTACGCGCCCGCGCGAGGTGCTAACACAACGAATTGTGAATTACGAGGTAATGTCGATTAGATAGGGGAATAATATCGCTTAGGGGTGACACAACGTTAATTTTATACTGGCACACCGCGGGAAAGCATTGCATCGTCGACCAGCACGCGCGTCATCCCTCCGCTGAGAAATCGATACGTACCTCGCATACGATGTTATTACGGCGTGCAGCGGATGCGGAGAGTAGCACCTGCAATACGGGTCGTATGTACATATTATCGTGTTCGCTAGAAATCCACCGGATGTCCGTCGCGTTCGTGGATTAAGGGAACGGTGGAGGGAAGCAGTGCGGGAAGCGATAAAAGCGGATATTAATTTCCGGATAGTTGAAATTCCTGCTCGAAACTTCGCGAGTCACTTCACAAATCTATGTATATTCGCGCTTTCTTTTTTTATTATTTTCTTGCTATTTCCTTGGATATAAATGTAACTAAATCTTCAACATGTATCTTGACTGCCGCGAGAAAATTCATATAGAGGACTTCCGATGACAATGATCATCGACATATGATTGTTATAAAAATAACAGTCTAGATATTTGAACGTCAGTCAATTTAATCTGATCTTAATTTATTTGCCCTCTTTGGAATAAGAGAATAGGAATAAGAGAAGAACAAAAAGTAAATTAAACTATAGCTGAAGAATTAACCGATGAAATCGATCAAACAAATCTCTTCTAATTATGTCTGGTGCATTAATTTGCTTTTATTTCGATCGTTATTACGTGGGATGTCATCAGTCTTTTTTTTATCACGTTGCAATTATACAGTACAGAAAAAGAATGAACGATTAATTTCATTTACCATTCTAATCGATACGAAGGGAATCGACCTCGTAACTGCATAATGATCGTTTTAATCCGTTCGACAGCGTGCTCGTCGACATTTCGACACCTTCCATTACGAAGGCTTCGTGTTTTCTCTTTTTTCTTTTTTCTTTTTCGAATCTTGCACGTAGCATATATCGAGATACGTGTACCCGCGAGGAACACAATGTGCACCGAGATCAATGTACTTTACGTGTATATATTTTAATTTAAGATTTAAAGCGTCACACACGTACTACGAATATGCAACATCAAACGTGACGTTCTTCGCATGGCAAATAAATTGAGAAACTTGTGGCACGTGCGAAAACGGATGAATTGGTCATTTCCTGTCGAGAATCCTGTGCCTTGCGCCGAGTTGGTAAGTCATCATCATATATTATTTTGACCCGAATATGAAAATGCTTTAAATACATTTCGAACATTATTTACGAGCGGTCTCTTCTTATCAAAATCGAAAAAAGGTTTTTAAAGAAAGTTGAAGCTAAAATATTCTCTATTTATTACTGGAATGGTTCTTTCGTTCTTTGATGGTGTTCTAAAAGCTTTCACGAATGCATCTTTAGATGCCTTACCATAATGCACAGAATTATCGACGTACACTGTATATATTTTGGCATGATCGGTTCCAAATGGCAGAAACGATCATTAAGCCCGCAGTACATCCATTATCGTTTCTTGATTTATTCTTTCTATATGCTATGAATACTGCACAGCACACTAATATTATATACGTTACAGATTGCACCGTAATTGTTTGGTTATCCGTTTCCGATAATTCAGCAATATTTCTCGCGGTTTGCGCTGTAATTTGCAGCATTTGAGTTTTTATTTTTACTACAATAACTAATCCTTTCGCGCACAGAGATTTCAGAGAAATTAAAAATCTTTCAGCTTTTAATATCTCTTTTTATAAACGAAAGTTATTTATATCTATCTTTAGTTACATATTCAAATAATGAATAATAAAAGTGTTCATATTTATGCTTGAAAGAAGATATATGTTCAAAGATTTGTCTTATTTTAAAGAGAAATTAATCTTGAAAACAAATTAGCGAAGTACCGATAAATTGAAATAGATTGAAGTTCGTATCTAAAACGATATCTTCGAGTTCAACTTAAATTAATTAGCCATATTCCCTGGGCCATTCCAAAATATACATGCTGTAACTTACAAACTAGTATCGGGAATCGACCTCGAAACATACGTGTGCCGCGGGCTTTAAAGAGAATCGATCAGACAATCGAGTATAATAAGAGGCAAGTGTCAGCTTGAAGAAGGCCAACGATAATTTCTGCACAACACGGTTAACTTCAGGTACTTTTTCTGCGATGTAGCATCGCGCGTGACACGAGAAATTCCCACGCGATACAACTTAGTTGTCTTGGAACACATTGTGATCCTCGTGGATTTCTGGTGGCTAGAATAAAAATGCGTTGCACTTATATTCGCAGGCTTTTCACAAACGAGTCACTTCTAATCGGTCAATTGAACGTATGCTACGCAAACGGATGAACGCAATAGGTAATGACTCGAATGAAAATTCGTTTTTGGTCTCTACGTGAGAGAAGAAGTTGTAACTATTAGACATTAATAAGTAGTAAGAATTATAAAAAGTTTTGAGATAACACAGAAGTGTAAACGATCTAGCAGCCGATGATAGGAAAAACATACTCTGAAATCAAAACGTGACGTGTGTCGCGTATCTCGGTTCTCGAGTGGATTATAAATTATTACGTTAGAACAACTGTAATCGTCCAGCGAATAATTCCTTTATTTTTCTATAATAATAATTTTATCGGAACATTTTAAAGGCTATAGTTTAATTGTTACTGTGTTTGAGCATATTAGAATTAATATTAGAGCTAATTATTTTTCAACGTAATAATTTATGATTTGCCCATGAAGCTGATTTGGATTTGTTCATAAAATAGGTATTAATCCGATTTATTAATCCGGTTAGCATCCGAGATACAATATTCTCTATGTTAGGCCACTCTGTATATTTGTATATTATCGTAAGATGAATCAAATTGATTAATAATCATTGTGGAAATAATATCGAATTAATATAGTCGTGAACACCGATATATTGAATGTTGGATATAAAATAAAATAAGAGACTTGCGGCGCGAGTAAAGTTATAAAACGTAATTGTACAAACAATTGTTTCCTTGTCGATAAAGAATATTATTAAAATCAGTCGAATGTGCGCGAATGGGAGAAAAAGAGAGAAGGAGAGAAAAAGTGGATGAAGAAGCTTTTAATTAAAATTTCTATTCATTCTTCAGTGTCATTCGCCTGCAGTTATTAAAACGAGTAAAAGAAAAGAAGCCTGTAATCTCAGTCAATAACGTGGATGAATGTCGTTAAAAATTTGCATCGCATCGCGTAGATTACAACGTGCTTGTGATATCGATTTGAATTAGATCCATTTAATTGAGATGGATTCTATTATAATACTTGGATGAACGAAGTATATTTGAGAGAATCCTGTATATCTTACAAGTTATAAAGAATAACGCAAGAATTTCAGCAATCTACGTAGAATTATAATGAACGTCTTCAAGCATTACAGATTGCATGTTCTACAGAGATCTGTTATAATATATTAAACGATGGATAGCTTTAATAGAGTGAAATTTCCT